GAAACATTTGGAAGCCGGGCGCCCCAATCCTAAACAGGCTTGCTTCAAAAGATTTCAGAATAAATTATGCTTAATTTGTAGGTGATCAGCTTCACCAGTTGTGGGGAAAAGATCCAGTCCAAGGCAAGCGTTTTTAAGGTTGGAGTTCAAAACTTTTATTACTGGGCTGGGCAAGGAAGTCCCGGTACAAAACATAGAGGTGCTGCCTAGGGACATCTGGTGAGCTGGCAGCTGGTCCCCTTTTGGGAGAGAATCTTGCCTGTGCTGCTTTCCTCCATGACAATCCTTGGGGCTGGCTGACGCCTGCCCCACTTCACCCCAAGCCCGGAGGCCGAGGCCGCAGCTTCTTCAGGAAGCGACTCCAGGCAATCCAGGTCTCCGCCGCACTCCTGCCTGACAAGGCAGAACAACCCCGCTATCACTACCACAGGCAGGCAGTGTCTGCTTCCCAGGAACCTCGATTTCCCGAAAGGCCTGTACCCAGTTTTAGGACTTTGGGGCAGGGTTGCCCTTTCGGGACTGCCTGCACTCAAGCGCCCAGGGAGGGAAAGAAGGAAAGATTGGGAGACGTCTTTTCGGGTGAGGGTCTGCCGAAGCCCCCATCATTGCTCTACGGCATCAAGCGTCTCCAAGAAGAAGAGGAGAAGGGACAATAACTCCTCTCAGAACAGCAGAATTACGTATGCTAGTAGGGATCTGAATTAAAGGTGTTTTAAAAATGAGTGCATCTTGTCGAAGCGACCTCCTTCGAAAGGCTACGACTGACTGCAAAGACGCGCATCCTGAAAGCGGGGGCGCAGGCAGATCCTATTAATCCCAACCGAGAGGCTGATTGCCACGGACCGAAAGAGGGGGTCAGGTCTTCGCCACCCTCATCCACGCCCCTTCGGAAACTTTTCCCACGCTTGAGCAAACAATTCCGAGTCTCACTCCAGGTGAGTCGAGAGAACTAGCCCAGCTCCGCAGCTCCGGCTCGGCTCTCTTCTCTCTCGGAAGAGCTTTGCGAAGTCCTGCTGGGGCCCCGCAGCTCCCCGCTTCTCCCCGCTTCCAGGCTCCAGCTCTGCAAACGGTGGAGAAGCAGGAGCCTCTGGACATCCCCGCAGCTGCGGAGTGCCCAGTCCTCAAAGCCTCGGGAAAGAGGGCTCCAATCCGACGCCCACTTTCTGAGAAGGGAATGGGCCGCAACTTCTGCTTAATACTGGTAATCTCAAAGCTAGGTCTTCGAAAACAGGAAGTCTGTCCAATACAAAGGTATTTTCTTATCTCAAGGAAGCTTACTTATTATGCCATCCTGAGCATGGATGAGCAGAGGTCAGCCACCCTAAATTTCCCAGGGCTTACTTCCGACTAAGAGATGGAGGAAATTTAATCTGAACCAATTCATCCTCTTCCCAGCATATCCATTTAGGATCAGGTGCATATGCATTTAGGATTGGGTGGGGCCAGTTTAGGGATTGGAAAGGGATTAATTCACAGCTGTCAGTAAGATTTAATTGCAAAATCTTCCCCTGAGTACAGCATTCCCCTTGCGCTGTCCCATTAAAGTCTAAAGTCAGATGTGCCAGATCTGAATCTGCCCAGGCTTTTTGGTCTCACAGCCCAAGGAGTGTTTGCATGTGTGTGCATGTGTGTCAGATTCAGGCCCAGCAAATCCCTTTCCCCTTCACCTGAGCCATCAGAATGCTTCTGACTTCCAGGATTGAGTTGAACTGGCTGAAATTCAGATCTGAAAAGACTCTGAAAATCCCTGTGCTTCTCCGGACGGAACCTCTCTGGAATCTTCCTGCACCCAACATTCTCCAGCTGGTGTCATCCAGATGAACTGAAAGACAGTCCTCATCCTCTCCAGTCAGAGTTGGCTAACCTACAGCTAAACCCTAGGGAAGGTCTTGCCAACACAGCTGGCATTAGGTAGCATGAGGCGGGTCCCACCTTTTTTGTATTCACACAACTCCCTCTAGTAAACAAATTGATCCCTCCTCTTCCCCATCTGAATGCCCTGCTTGTTGGTGATGCCTAGCCTTGACCACACCCTCCCTGACTTTTCCATCCTTAAACCAATGGGTGGGGAGCAATTCCAGAGCCCAGAGGCTCTTACAAATAAATCCAATAGGCTCCTTTGATAGGATGCCGCACCTCTAGTTTGGGATTTTGTTTTGGGCTGTCCCAGGACCTGCAGTCCTGAGAGATAGCAATGTCCAGAACGTTCATGCGATGCTTTTCAGGGCACCATAGGACAACGGAAGCCTTGGAAAAAGCAATGGAAAATGTCGGGCTGGTAGTTCTTTCAAGGCAGATTTACTGTGGCAGAAGATTTTGTAGGAGCGAACTCGCTCTGGCTCATGAAAGAAGTGAAATGTGAATAGCTGTAGATCCGTCTTGAAAGAGCTTCCAGCCTTGAAGGTGTGACAGGAGTCCTGCTTGGTTTTGCTGCAGCACATACTTCTCCTCCTGGATCTGAGGAGCTAATCTGTTCCTGCTACTGCCCCAGTGTCTACACATAACGCACACAGCCGATATATATTTTGCTGCTTCCTACACGGGAATTCCAAGTGTCAGGGTCCACTGATGTAGGAGGATGGGGGGGGGGGGGGCGCCCCCAAAAATTTCATTGGGGGCCCCTCCCCCCCCCCCCCCCCCCCCCCTCTCCCTCCCCCCACCCCCGACCGCCCCCGGAGAGCTGAGGCTTGGGGCGGTAATAGGATGGCCCAAAGCACTGGTCTTCTAGGG